GAGACGCCAGCTTGCAACTGAGATCTCACATGATGCTCTTTGGTGAGCCAGAATGGACATACCAGAATCAGGATCTTCCTAACCCATCTTCACCCAACCCACTGGTGCTTGGTCCTGCCATGAGTGCAGGGGACTGGACTTGATGCCCTCTCAATGAACAGAACCACTTGCCCATGCATCTCTAAGCAGAGAGAGGACAGAGGTGTATAAAATAATGTACTTTCTTCATGCAATTCGATACTCCTATTTACCCTCTCTTGTAGTACCAGAGCAAGGTGACCTCAATACAATGAAAAGGCATTTAGAAATCAAAGCAGGAAGTCAGTTTCAGACAGAATGCCGTTATCGGTGGAACTCCTTGCCACAAGACATTATGGAGGCCAAGAAGTCAGCAGGACTCAAGAAAGGCAGTGCTGTTTATATGCAATCTCTGCAGCTACAGTAGGAAGAATAAACATTCGTAAGGGATTATATCAGAGCTGCTCCTTCCTGGGGTGCCCTCCTATGGCAGGCGGCATCATGAGTAGTGTGCCTGCCTCAGTTTTCCCTTCAGTCACCCACAAAGGAATATAGTCTGTCAGTGTTCAATGCAGAGACCGCCCCTAGGCGTAATTCACATGTGTACAGGAACCTTGCGATAAAACCATTCTCCTCGACCCCCAAAACACAACATTTACCAGCCAAGTTGCTTCTTTCCTGTGACTCTGCTCCCACAATCAGATCAGGGCCCCTGAAAGATGCTCCTGCCAGTGTTCCACTCCCCAGGATGCTGTGCCGGACAGTCCTGTTCCTACTCGGGGAACGGTCTTCCAGAGTTCACCTTATTTCTGGGCTCAGCTTCCCACAGCCCTCCACCCCGGCCTCTTCCCTCCGAACGGGGTGCATGACAGGAGAAGGGATTCTCCTCCGCCCCTGGGCGTACATGATTGTATGTCTGTCCACCAGGAAGGTTTCTCACCTTGCTCTGAAGCAGCTGGTCCTGGCTGTTGGATTAGTTATGCCGGTGGTTTGATCTGGTACGATTGATTTTGTGATCCCCACTGGGCTTCCGTCCGAGGGAAACAGGAAATACCGGACATTTCACATGTCTGGTATTTTCTGTTTTTTTTACCGGACGGGGGAGCTGAATAACGGACAGTCCAGGCGAAAACCAGACACCTAGCAACACTACACATTGAGGCATGGATCAAAGGCTTTACCCAGGCTCCGCCTGCTCTGGGAATGGGTTGGACACACATATTATACAAACCCATATACAAATGGAACCTGTATATTCCATAGGTGCCTCGCCTCCCGCTGGATAGCTGGGCTGCGGCAGAGTGCTTGGGATGCCCGTTTTCTGGCATTCACCCCGGTCTATGTATAGGGTTTCCAGATGGTTGGAACAAAAATACCGAACACCCCTACCCCCAAAAAAAACACCGGGAAAAATTATATTGAATGGGAAAAAAAAGGGGGAGGGAGACCAAAGTCATTGAGTGCAAAAAAAAAAAAAAAAAAAAAGGACTCCTAGGACTTATTCAGCCAAAAAAAAAAAAAAAATTAAAATAAAACAGCATTAAAACAGCATGTCCCCTTTAAGAGTGAGTGCAGGGATAGGAACAGCGGAGAAGTTGAGCACTAAGACCCAGGGGAAGCATTGCTTCCCCTAGGTCTTTTGGCCTGCAGCCATGGGGAACCAGGTAAGCATGGGGGCTGGGGTCAGGGAGCTAGGAGGGGTTTTGGGTGGGAGGAGCGGGGCAGGCCAGGCACTGAGTGTTTGTAGGGTTGCCAGGTGTCCAGCATTTTCGCCTCCTGGTCGGGGAAAAATTCAGAAAATACCCAACATCTTAGGTGTCCGGTATTCTCTGAATGTTTGTTATCGGACTGTCTGGGTGAATACCGGACACCTGGCAACCCTACCTGTGTATGCCTGGGAGAGAGGCTGTCGTAATACCCCGTAGTAACCAATACAGGAGCACAAAACAACCAGCACAGCAACCAATGGGCAATTCTGCCCGTGGCAGGAGCCCATTCCGTTCCTACGTGGAACTGTGTTTCCCAGAATCTAATGTCATTCCTCTCCTCGGGCAAATCAACCCCTCTGTTTTATCCCAGTCAATGGCTGCATGGAGCTGGTCACATACGCCCCGAGGCCTCCTGCTTTGGATGGCGAATGGAAAAACATCAGAGCCTGTTAGCCCCAGGCTGTCAGCAAAGTCGCTGTGGCATCCCGTGTACGAGCCAGCCCCCGGTGCGCCATTGCCTGGAGTCACTGTGCATCCGAACGCTCCTGGGCCACATTTCAATCCTCCCTTGTTTGCATTCCCGTCGCACGCAAAGGCCTCCCAGCAAAAGCAAGGCCTGGCCGTGGGAGTGGTGTAGCGCCATGGAAGAGACGGGCCTGGCTGCGGGAGTGGTGTAGCGCCATGGAAGGGACGGGCCTGGCTGTGGGAGCGGTGTAGCGCCATGGAAGAGACGGGCCTGGCTGCGGGAGTGGTGTAGCGCCATGGAAGGGACGGGCCTGGCTG